ACTAAAACGAATGATAAATTTATTCTCAATAATAATTTCTATCCAGTGATGTCATACCGACGAATTTAAAAAGATAGCGACGAATTATTGTGTACGGTTTGGTCACTCGTTATGGTCCGCGATATCAGTTGCGAAAGCGCAAGAGGTTAAAACGTCGGGACCGAGCTTAGAATTTAGATTTATGCTACACTATGAGACACACATCGTATCGGTAACATCGATTTTTGTTCAATCAAAGCTTTCGGGAAAGGAATTCTGTTTTAACAGAAGTGAATGTAGTTTATTAAAACAGTACAAACGAAATTGAATCGTTTGATGCGTCATTTCCTGAATCTGTCAGCATTTTCAGGATAATAGAAAACTTGGAATTCGAATGTTGTTGTAGAACAACAAATTTGGTAGATCTACTTTAGTGAAAGAAACTGAACTAAAGTCTTGCGTGTAAATGAAGATATTCGCTAATCATCTTTGCATCGTTCTCCTATCTTTTGTAAATAGTTGACGCATCACATGCGGCCGTCTTGATGGCAGAAACGGTTTAACGTGTTAATATTTCGTCCTGATTCTCGTTAGCCAGCTAGCCAAACGAAATTACCGGAATTGTTAAACGAGGAGGGGAGAAGTGGAAGCAGAGAGGTGCGCCATCTGCCGGAGCTCGCCAATTACAACGTGATAATGACGAGTAATTGGGCTTCGCGTAACAGGGGGCCATTCACAGTACGATAGCCTAACCTGATCGTGTCGAGTTCGGCTGAACACTGACTTGCACTTTGTTTGCAACCATTGTTTCAATTATGTTTGATATACCAAGCCGCTTTTGGTCTCTTGATTCGACTGGTATTGAACCCTGAAGTTTACATTCGTTCGTGTCATTATCTATTCTGTCACCTATATTCTCATCTTTATGGTCCGTAAGATATAAATGTAAAGTCAAAACAATTCAGAGAATACTGGATGCATTTGGGGAAGATACTCAACTCGGTTCGTAAAAGGTGGAATAACTTCTTTATGTAAAATATATAGTTTTATTCATGTAATGTAAAAGGAACGTACCACCGAGTGACATTGATTTTGCTCACTCGTTATTGAAATTTGGTGGAGTGTTTTGAAAGTAAATGTTAATACTTTTCTACATTAACGGCTTGAAATAAATGCGAAGAACCCATCGGAATCTGGGATTAACCTATCCCCCTTCGTGTCGTGTTTCAGCGCGAGTACACGGACGACTGCGTGTTCAACGAGACGCTGGAGCAGCACAATTACAACACGTACAGCTCGGCGAAGTGGTCGACGGTGAGGAAGACGTTGTACCTCGGCTTGAATCGCCGGGGCCAGCCGAGGAGGGTGCAGGCCAAGGGTCACAACTTGGGCAGGCTGTCGGCGTACGCGCGAGTACTCACACAGGTCGCCCCGTCGGAGCGAGTGGAGGCGTTGCAGAGACGGCTGCTGGGGGCGCAGCACAATGTCCGCCACCGGCACAACAGCCACCGCGGCGACCTGATCCAGCAGTCGCTCTGCCCCAGCCTGCCGGCGCAGGAGAAGGACGGCAGAGATAAGTTCAGGTGTCGCAAGCGGAAGAAGAGGAAGAAGAGGAGGCGAAAGTGCAGGCCGGGTGAGAAGCCGGGCCCGCAGTGTCAAACGACGGAGGAGAACGCGACAGCCCCGGCTAGAAACGAGGGTCTGGCTTCGAACGGGACTCGGTTAGAGACGAAGAGGTCCTGCGAGGGCGCGGCGAGCGACGAAGCTTGCCGAAGAGAGGCGCTCTCGGTTCCGTCAAAGAAACGGAAGCTTCGGGTCGAACAGACGGCGGCGGAAGAAGAACGACGACGAGGAAGAGGAGGAGTAGAAGGAGGAGGGGGGAGCAAGAACGTAACCGTGGCCAGAAACGTCACCGGGGGGAAAAAAAACGTGACCGGGGGCGCGAGGAACGTCGTCGTGGCGGCGAGTACCAACGGTGAGAGAAAAACATCAGCGTCAAGTAAACCAGCGAAAAAAGTAAACGCTGCTGGCAGCATGAGTCAAAGTAAAAAGCCCAATTTGACAGATGGGAAGAAGAGAAAGAAGAAGGGGCCAGCAGCGGCGGCGGCGGC